GCCGGAGCCTTTCTCGGGTGAGTTCGATAAATGTGGTGGATTTTTGACTCAGATCACACTACAATTCCGTCAGTTACGAAGAACATATGAGACAGATGGGGCCAAAATCGCCTTTATGGTTCAACTATTACACGGGCACGCATTAAACTGGGCGCAAGCTGTTTTGAGAACAGCCCCGGACATTTCTTATGAGGACTTCCTCACCAAATTTAAGAGTGTTTTTGAAAGAGGCACCGGAGCGGAGGCGGCTGCCCACAGACCGTTGAATTTGAAGCAGGGGAGGCGGAGTATGGCGGATTTTTCGGTCGAATTCTGGACCTTGGCCGAAGAGACTGGCTGGGGGCAGTCGGCATTGATAAGTACTCTCCTGAATAATGTTTGTGATGAGTTAAAGAGAGAACTGATGATGAGAGATGTTCCTAAGACCTTGTCTGATGTGATTACGGTGTGTGTGAAGTTGGATGAGCACCTACGGGCGCGTCGGGGAATCCGAAACTACATTTCCCAGAGGCCCGCAGGGCGCATGGAGACGTCAGGTGGGGGCGCGCCTAGCGGCAGTCACTCGTTGGACAGCACGGAAGAAAGTGAACAGCCCATGCAACTGGGCCGCTCCAGTCTGTCGCCCGAGGAGCGGTATCGAGTGCTATTATTGTGGCCGCAAGGGCCATATTGCCATGGATTGCCAGGCGCGGCCAAAAGACAGCGCCCGCCGGTAGTGAGGAGTGTACGGGTGGGCGAGGTCTCATGTTCTCAGTATCCTCCTCATCTCATGATTGCGGCTAAGCTAACGGTTCGTCTCAGGACTCATTCTCTCGACGCTCTGATCGATTCCGGGGCAGAACAGAATTTTATTGATGCCTCGCTAGCACTGAAGTTAGGTTTTAGCACGGAGCTTCTGTCTCATTCACTCCAAGTCACAGCCCTTAGTGGCCAGCGTCTTCCAGACATTACCCATGTCACAGAACCGATTTCCCTGTCTCTTTCCGGCAATCATGTTGAAACCATACAGTTGTACGTCTTTAAGGCCCCACTCACTCCAC